TTCTTCTCTCTTGCTTGTGTGTACTTGTTATTTTTTCCTCATATCTGCATAGCAGTACTAACTAGTAGTCTCTGTAATAATAAGCAGTGGCTGTAGTATTCGTTGAAGATAATCAGATGTTACCGGTTTCCCTTAAGTGCGTCCCGTATGTAAATAAATCTTCTATTTATTATTATTTGGCTATTATACGGTACTTGTATGAGCGTAAGTTGAATTCTGGATAATTTCTCGCTTAGATAATATCGTAAGCAAGGTAACGGTGGAACTGAGAGGGAGGAAAGAAGTCAGGTAAAAAAACAAGTATAGCAAAGCGAGTAGTCGATGATAAATTGGATTGTAGTTATTTAATTGGATTGAATGATTAATTAAAACACTGAACTATGGTTATCTTCTTAGGCTTGCGTGTACTTTAGATCGCGGATTGTTGTCGAAGAACTGGCCGTAGCACAAATAATACACCAATCGAACTTCTTACCACAATCAACAATGACACCCAAATAAACTATTGAATTTCAGTAAGTTATGAGTGCCGTCTACGCGCTCCATTAAGTTGTAGTTGGTGACACAATGCAACTGCAACGCCGACTGGACAGACGCAAAACGTAACTCCAATTTCGAATTAAGTCAGGCGGCCAGAAAACGTGGTCGGCGGGTTCAAACACCGCCAGCAGCGACAACTCCTCCCATCGATGTAGTCATCACCTAAATTTCACACATTAACCAAATGAAGCAGACAGGTGCTACACGTCGAGTATGACGTGTAGTACACGTAGTATTGGCGTTTGAATCGGTATTGTCCTACTCCGAGCTACCAGCGGCCTAAATCCTAGCCCGGACGTTCATCTGTGCCTTCATTGCTGCCGGCTAGGTATGAGCTAGACGCGCCAGTTGTAAACGGAAGTATGGGGGCTAAAGCATTGCTACCTTTGGTTGTTTTTTCTCTTCCCATCAAGCTTCGCCCCTGAAACATGCATCCTACTCTAGAGACGTCGCCATAAGACCCTCGTTGTGGCACGGTAATTTCGTTACGTTATGCGAGTTACTGTCTTGTTACGCGATAACCATAGCCGGCGCACCTCCGCCACTTCCGATATAATCGGACGTGGTCGAACCCCAAACGCCGCGTGCGTCGACGATGAGGTACACGAGCACGATTCGAACGCCAACGCCATCGACAGCAGCAGTAGAGACAATTAGCGACATATGACGAACGCAGAGATGGTTGTTCGTAGTGGTGGTAGTAGAACCTAACAGACTAGGTCGTCGATTATATCGTGCTGTAGGCCTACCTCGTTGTATCGCAACGATCTTAAACAGCAAAGTGCGATGAAGCAAAATTAATCAGTTAATTTAACTAGGACGTAACTGCAATGAAGCTGTCCCCGAACCCACATAATAAAATCGCATTTTGTAGGGCATTCCTGCTACGTCTACGATCGTGTTATTTAGGTTTCATTACCCAAGGATATTCTTAGAAGGGTTAGTCACGATATGCCTAAATATGAATACCGTTAAATTTGCACCTATATAATGGTTATTCCTAGAACTCGTGCTGCAGCTCCTATTCCGTCGATGCAATAGTAACTATAGATTTTGCCTCACTAAAATGAGTTCTCGTTTCAATGACAAGCTGCAGACTTTCCAATGTTTAGCATCAATAGAGGCGTGCACTCTTCGTGAACATGAAGACAGTCAGGTTGCCGAACGTGGTGCCGCCACGTTCGCGCTATCTTCGTCGCGGCATCACACAGTCAATTCCAACAGCTGTGACGGAAGCGGCGACGGCTGCGGTGGACCCGCGCTTATTTGTTCCGTTGCATCCAGCGGACACCGGTATGGCATCGCAGCCAGTCACCGGGGGCGTCATCTCCCCCGATGTGTGCGTGCAGGAACTGACCGCGCATTCGTTATCGAAAATGATGTTTTTGTAGATCAAAGGCCGTCTTTGATTCTATGAGCAGCTCGGAACGAACACAGCAGATGTTACGTGTTATCGCGACGCGCTATTTATACGACTTCGACAATTGCCATTGTCACAAATCGAACAAACGACGAAGCAATTTCGTATTGTCGCCTTTTGTCGTTACTTTAACGACTCGATTGCTGTTGCCGGCCGCAGCAGCAGCAGCAGCCGCCGCCGCCGCAAGGAGGCAAAGCGAGCAGAAGACGTCCGTCACTAACTCGAAACGGTGCTTCTATATGCGCGACTACGTAAAATCGTCGGTTCTTGCTGATCTCTGCCTATCTCTGGTGACGAAAGCCCGTACGGTTGTGTCAACTGAATCGTCTACAATGGTTTGAATTCTGTAACCTATCTGCGAAGGCTTGTCTTCAACGTCTTCAGAACACTGGTCACAACGGCGGCATCAGCGGGGGCAATGGCAATTCACTTCTTTCAAGATTCGGCTCGTATTGCGCTCGACAAGCTACAAAACTCTCATGGTTTTGGCATCGGATCGGAATTGACTAATTTCAATCAGGTGTTGCCGTCGAGAGAAAATCGACGCTTGGCTGTCGACACTCGACCTCTCAGGTCGTCTCAGCGTCTTTACCAACAAAAAGAAAAAGCAGTCAGAAAGACAGGCCGAGACGGCAAGGGTGAGAAAGCAAGCAAGCATCCGTCCATCTATCTATCTCTTTTTCGATTTCACCCGCGACCTGAAAACTACCCCGACCTTAGGGAACTGCGGCAGAGCAATAACCGCAATATGTGATTTTTCACTACTTCAATATTCTTGTCTTCCCCTGGCCCGACCAGTTCAGCCCTTCTGCCTCGTTTTCACTCTTTTCGTTCAGTTCGATTTACTTCGAACCGGGATAGCTTTCGGTTTTTCCGAAAGATCGTCGTTTTCCTTCCGATCATACTCCCATCGATATGATCATTTCGGCCTGTTTTAATCTAACTTTGTTGAAAGAAAACGCCAGACATCAACTCGGAACGAAAAGCCCACGTGTGACAACTGCTGATACAACCAGTGCCGTGACGGCGAGCGTCAGGAGCACCAGCGCCGGAGACCATATTCACGTTACGTGTTCGTTCTACGCCACAACAGCAGCTGAATAACAAGTGCACACGTTAATTTGAATTTTGCCAAAGACGAAGGTGAGGACTAAGCCAAGCGCTGCGGTCGTCGTTGTTGTGAGAACTGACGAAAGCCGTTTTGCCAAAAAAAAAAACAGATCAGAGACGGCAGGTAGCATTGTAGCAAACATTGTAACGAAAAAAAAGTTTCGCCTGCAGCTACCGGTGCCTCCCGTCAGCATCATGGAGTTTCCTGGCGTTCAAACCCGATGCCGTGCAGTAAGCAGATTCCGAAAGATGCCTCCAAACTGACGTCAAAAACGGTCGCGGCCGACAAACACAGCCGAGGGCAAGCGAGTTCGATGATACGCTGAATATGCGTAACGCTTTGTGACCTGGCTTGAGTCATTCGATTTTGTCGGTCAATCGGTAGATGAGCACCGCACGATTTCGAACAATGAACCGTTTCTTGGTCTTAACACCCGAACAGATAAGGCCCAAAAGATGACAGAACATCAGGGTATGACACGTTCTCAAAAAAGAAACAAAAAAAGTAAACAATGCGCGTTGTGAAAACTCAACAGAAAAAGAGACTGATTGAAGATCGGACGAACGAGATAACCGACAAGAGTTGGGCGCCTGTCAGGGAGATCATGTCGAACAAAATCAAAATACAAGCTGAAGAACTACACCGCAGCGCACGTAACGTGTTTATCCCCTATGCAGAGTAAATAATCGCCTCATATATATGCCTATTGAAAAAATACTAATACGTACGTTTACCGTATAGCGTGCCTCAAAATTGTGCTCGATCATACTAAATGAAGGGGACATGCACATGCAGCGCGATCGATGTAAAGTTCTTTCTGGTTAACAGGTGTTAGCTATCTAGTGCTCACTAGGAAGGAAAAATCGAACCCTATTCTTCTGCAAGCTTTGGGCAGTTTCAGGACCACTTCAACTAAAGTTACCTCTTCACCGAGGAAACTGTACGATCTAAAGTTACCTCTTCCACGAGGAATGGCGTGTACGGCGATTTCTTACGCCCAGCTACGTACTATTTCACTATCTCAGGCCTCTTGTCCTTCTTCACACACTCGTCATCGTCGGACAACGGTCCCATAATACACTATTGCACTCGAGTAGTAGCCGAAGACGCAACTGCCAGACGGAAAAGTAAAACAAAAGAAAGAGAGCGAGCGAGATAGAGAGAGAGAGAGGGAGGGAGGGAGGGAGCAATATGTACACAGAGACAGAGAGAGAAAGTACGGCAAACCAGCTAGTGTGTCAGACCATTGTAGACAGTGAGTCAGTTAGCGGTGGTAGCTTTGCCGTTATTCATCCGTCGGTCGGTCGGTCGGTCGGTCGGTCGGTCGGCTCAACCAATATTAATTTTTATCAATTGCCCTACGCACCAGGGTGCAACGCATGTGGGTAATTCACAAGTGGGAAAGGGACAGTTCAGGACAACCTGAGAATGAATGATTTGTCACAAAGAAATCCTTTCTATGGCTTTCTGTTACATACGAATTCGTCATCGATGCATGTAAGCAATCGTGCACAGACTGCGGGGGAACAGGAAAAGGTACGAATAAAATTCCGTCAGTGTTACAGGGCTGATACGGTTCCCATGTGCGTTCATTTAGTGAACCTGTGTGTCTTATCGGTCGATACGTAAATCGCGCGTAGGCCATGGCCAAAGTGTATTGTCAACATCGAACAGTGCTATCATACGGATTTATCTCTGATCACTCTTCCACAAGCAGAGGAACACTTGCAGTAGGCTGCTTGTGTTACGCTTGTAAAAGAAGTAAACTAAGGATTGCCCTATTTTTCTATAGGATTTGGCAGAATAGTGTTATAATAACGTTACATGAAAAAACAGTGATGTACGTATGATGGTTAACGCATGGCAGAGACGCCGTAGGAAAAGTCCTATCGCTGAGGGATCTGGGCTAAACTTGAAAGTTGCACTTACTTGTGATTTCGGCGGATTGACTTGAGCGGGTGGCGGCGAATGTCACAATAGAAGAATCCAACGGGGCCAAATTTCGCCAACTCTTTCAGTCACTGTTTGTTTTGTGTTTTTCTTCGGTATTATCGAACAGTAGTTGTAGTAGGAGCACCATCACTATTCTGCACATCATCGCTATACCGTTGATAAGAACTGAAACAAATTGTACGTCTGGTGGACGATGCCGGTATAATTCGCTGTCCAACGCATCCGATGTGAGCAAGCAGAAATCGAGAGGGAAGGCATATACGTGTGCGCTCAATAATCGTATTGTAATTGAGAGGGAATTGCCCTGAGGCAATACTCAGGTTCAAGTCAGCTGGAATTGATTGTATCATTCATATTACAGCCATGATCGGCAGATGCAAGAAATTAAGGGTAAATCTCTACGGGAGATCATAACCGTTATTCTGTAGGGAAAAAGAAATGGGATGAAAATAATCATGATTTGCATAGGTGAACCACGGTTCGCGTTGGGAAACATTCGGCGATTAGAAGAAGTAGGCAGGACGCGGCAGGCCAATCACCACCTTACGGAGTTAATAGGTTGAACAAATAGATGTCTCTGCATTTCAATACCGTACGGCACCTGGCTCCGATAAACTTTAACTGGCGACCCTGTGCCGTCGTTCATTAGTACTAATCGAGGACTTGGCAATAGCTACAATAGCAAGCAGTCACCTATCTATCTGCCTAACAAACAGATTTTTGCCTAGTTCAGCAGTAATCAATCCGATCGGCCACAACCGGTAGCAGAACTACGACGGACGTCAGTCAGTCAGTCCGGACATTCGACGTCCAGCAAGGCCCGATTAACGTTAGGAGACGTCGTTCGCCGTCGCCCGCAGCAGTACCGACTCGGGTGGCTAATTCTGTTGCAGTGACGACTACTCTGGCATGAGTCGCCGCTGGAGGCCGGTGGCCCGTGATGTTGTTACGGTGGTGGCAGCACCATCGACGGCAATTGACGCTGTGGCGTGTTGCTGTTGCTTCTGCAGCTTAGCTCTTAGTTCTGTTCAGCTTCAACGTTCTATCTTTGCCTAAGTTTGCCTGCTGCTGGCGATGATGATGACAGTAGCACAGACGCGGCCCTCTACCTCCAGTGCAGCAGCAGTCCATCGTAGTTGTAGTAGCAACGGTCGTGGCGCGGTCTGAACTCGTCATCCGTAACGGACCGTCATTCTGCCTCTACGGCCACCCGCCTCTCCCTTACTGGCCGCTACTGCTGCTGCGTTTCGCTCTGGACTTTTGTAGCAGCGCATTCAATATACTAAGCAGCAACATCACTGTCTGCCGCTGTCGTTGCTACTAACTTTACTGTTGCTGTCGCCGGCGTCAACAACTACTCTATAGCGTTCAATGTGCTGTGCTACTAGACGCTGAGTCGATTGGTTGACCGTCGCCGTCGCGATGGCTATGAACCACCGTCTTTTGCTAGTTTTCTTGCTTGGTTGCCTGTTGTTGTCGTTATGCGTGAGTGAGAGACCTCTCCGGTGTAGTCCTCAATTCACCGCTGGCGGCTTGAACAACGGCGACGACGACGACGACGGTGACAACGACCACAATTGAAGTACCAGCAGGTCCATACGTCATTGCGTAGTTCATATGTAATTTGAAAATGGAGGCGGCGCTGGCAGTGAGGACCCTGCGTGTGCATTCAGGCAGCGTTTCTCGGATTGGGTCAGACAACAGCGAAGTGTGCAAAGGAACTTAAACCAGCAAAGCAAGCTCTCGACGCCGAAGTCCGTCATTCCTCGCACCGGTGCAGGTCCACTGAATACGGAACTGCAAGAGGTGGTCCGCAGGGTTGATTGCCACCTACCTACCGCGCGTGGAGGCGTAATTCTATCACAGTCAATCTCCCCATTGAAGCTGTTGACGTAACTTCCATTAGCTAACAACCTTCAGCATTTCTTTTCCAGGTCGGCTGTAATAAAGAACAACATGGCAGAATCACTAGAATCCAAATCTTACGCATATTAGAGTAGAATCGAAAACTTAAATCATCTACTGTCTTCTCGTGTTCTGTACAGGATAGGGTCTACCCGTGCCATTTAATAAATTCCACGTTATTCGATCTCGCACTCCTATAGGCGTAATTTGGTTCGTAAACAGGCCGCTATTATACTGTCAAGGTACATGAAACGAATTCAAGGCAACGCTGAGTGCCAAGCAAATGGTACAACTGAATCAAATAACTACTGCATGTGGATTAGGAAGAATGATCGCGTGGGAATATTGAGCGGCTTTACCAGGTCTATAATCTTTCCCTAGAATTACGGTTATGGCTCGAATAGCGCATCTAACGATACAGGCAGTCGCAACGTTTAGATAGTCGGTCGTCGGCTGAACTAGCAAACTTAGCCGTCGCTTGTGATGCAGAAAAATAACTAGCAATTTGTTGCTCCCTCTGCCATTATTGCCGCTGCTCACGCCCGAGCGAACGAGTGTTTGCGCACGCTAGGTGTCCGCTACGACTGATCTTTTCTGTGCCCCTATTGGGCCTCGTCGCCCTTTGGGGGCTGTCGTTTCGCCCCTCCTGCTGCTAGGCCTGTTTCCTGCCATTGCTAGAATCATAACGATGTACTGTGTTCTTGTTGTTGCTAGTACCACCAGTACGGCCCTCTATTAGAAGTTGTGCTGGAAGACCGCTGCTGCCATTGCTCGTTTTAGCGTTTCCTAGGCCGATCGCTTGCGGTATCTCGGCCAGCGTTTCTCACAGACGACTCCAACAACAGCATCAGCATCATCGTCTAACATATGGTGGCGGTGGTGGCGATGATGGCCGCCGTCGCGGGCGGCGTCACAGTTTGAGCCACCATTGGCCCCGCCAGCGTCGGCGCACCTAGACAGAGTGGCTGCTGAGCCAGCGCGTGGCTGACCGCTAATTTATATGCGGCAGCGATATGTGGTAATGGCAAAAGCGCCACTGATCGTGCCGTCGACAACAGACGACGGGGACGACGCTAACTAGCGAATGCTGTCGTCACATCAGCTACTGTCATTGCTAGCGCGACGGTGGCGGCCATAGAGAGACAAAAACATCCGCATGGCCCTTTGCGCAGCCTGGCGGAGACGACAGCGGCTGCAATAGTGGTCGCATTGCGGAGGGATGTCGATTGATTATGACGACTTTTCACTGTCTCTCTGCCCAGGACGCGATCTCGCGCACGGCCGTATCGTCGCCACGACCATAGCCAGCATCATCAGTAGTAACAGTTGCGGTAGCAGTCATACAATGTCCGTTTCCCTTCAATTCGATATTTGACGCTCACTAATGACTGAGCGCACGTCTACAACGCATTTGCCGAAGCTCATACAGTAAACGACGGAAAAACGATAGGGGGCCGGGTACCATGGTGAAAAAGATAAGAGGAGAAATCAAGCAATGACAGAGGGCTCACGTGGCTTTCACTGGGGCTAAACTTTTTATTTTTATTTTAGAGGCGATATGTCAATCACGTAGAATGATATCTATCTATGCCGCACTAGAAATAGCATTTCACCCTGTCAGAACACGAGAATTTACCGAAAATTGCCGAGATGACAAATATCTCAGCTTGTCGACCAGACAACAACGTGCCTACTGATAGACCATTAATAGGATTTATTAGATAATGGGTGAAGGCTTTCATTAAGAGCAATAGCTTTGTATCATACGGGCTATTATATGCTGCAGTATCGAACTGCGACAGCGGTACAAGCATGAGAAGTTTCGCGCACTGTTGTCTCTTCAAGCAGGCATACGCGCGAAAAATAAAGCAGTCATAGGCCAATGGAAAGGTTATCTTCGTAAACAGATGGAGTACATTTTGTTTTTCGTCCCTGCCTGTTTACAGCACTAAATTTAGTTCCGCCATATCTGCAATCGGGCACAATTCTACTGCTAACTCAATTTAGCTTTTTTTCTTCCTTCCTTCAACAGAAGAACAACCGAAATTTGTGTGTTTAGCAGAGCTACTTCACATCCGTCATCGCGCCAACGGCCGTAAATTAACGATGTGCGTGTAAGCAAGCAGATACAGTCCCAGAGCACTTCGAATCTTTTCTTGGCTTATTTGTGTGTTTTGGCACGATATCGTGCAACACTCAACCTATCGTATATTGGGCATTATGATCTCTGTGCATAGACTTAACAATAACACTTATTTGACGTCGTCTCGATTAAGGCACGTTCATTAGAATTCGGCCGAAAGCAGACTCTAATGTCAAGGACGAGTTCAGAAGGGCACATCAGTCCAGCCAGATCCAGCCCGAATATTTTGCAATTCGCTACTGACGCACATAAACATAACGGCTGCTTAAGAACGAGTCGCAAGTTGCCATCTCACTGTTGTCAATAATTCGAAAATTATTAGCAACAATAGGAACACCGCACTGATGAACTGATCAATAACAACAACAACAACAACAATAACAGCAGCAGCAGGAGCATGAGGAGGAGCAGGCGTTACGGGATTGCGAAACTGGATGTCAAGGGTGCAACATACAATGCAAGGATCGCTGTTGTCTGCTTCATATAGCACACACACACACGCACACACACACACACACACACATACACACACCCTCATACAGACAGTCAGACAGACGTCCTGATCCTAGCTATCAACAGATAACGAGAAGGATTTTATTCCAAGGACAACGTCTTACCAATTTCGAGATCCTGACGAAGGAAATGATGAAAGGACGATTCAGCCGTAATATTGGTTCGATCGGTGCCACATATGAGAAAATCGATCGTATACTTCAACGTGGTGGAAACGTTTTCCTTGATTGGTCCAATCGGAAACGATGATAAGAGCTTTAGGAATAGAGGTAGACGGTTTTAGAGATTTTTATCGATATCGGTAAAAAAAACATCTTTCTTGCGATGGCTCTGGTTGCTGTTGACACCAATATGATCCGATGGGCCGATATTTCCGTTGAAACAAACGGCACAAGACTTAGCAACACGAGGCGCGTTTGACTTTATTTAGCCAAAGCTCTTTAACTGTTCGTTCACAGTGACGATTGATGTATGATTGCTCACTCTAGCCCTACTCAAAGATCACTGTAGATCTTCATTCTTCTTTGCAATTCATATCGTTAAAGATGAAGACGTTGCTCCACTTTCAGAAAATCCACTGAATGAGGAGAGCTGTAGGTCGAAAAGCGTTGACATCTCGGGTAAAAACATACTGGAAGCCAACTTGAGTGTTGATCGGACTCGGGTCTGCAGTTTGTCTTCTTCAGATGGTGAGAAAAGGAGAAGCGATGGTTGTATGAGGTCTAATAACATAACAACTACACATGACAAATTAGTTAATCAGGCGCTTGTTGCGGCTCGCTCGTCAAATGACGTTCTATCCAGTTCTCTTCACTGTTGCCAAAATGAATGCAATGTGCCATCGTGCGCGGTACTTTGGACAAGCTGAGGTCGATCGGCAGGCGGAGATGATGGCGCTGATGGTTCCTGTCGCCGAAGTCGAAGTAACGAGCCGTCCAGCTATCGAATGCGCGAGTGAGGGACGACAAAAAAGAAAGGATAAATAGAAAGGGCAGGCGACACCGTGCCCTCAAAGACGAACAGACAGCTGGGCATAAGGTAAAGACACAGCCGTCTTCGGCCGTCGGATATTGCCGTAGCGTCAAAGCATAGGGAACGTTGACGACGCACACGGCGCCTGCCCCTAGCTGCCGGACAAATCGTGGTCGCATTGGTTGCTCACGTATCCGTCCGAGCTAGGAGCAATAGTGGCCGGGCTGCTTACGAACGACAGCAGACGCTGGCGACGTTAGCAGCTACATCAGAAGGAGCCAAGAAGCAGAAAAAGCAGAAGCTAAAGGCAGAGGAAGCCGACAGCAAAACCAACAGCAGCATCAATAGCAGAAGTGCGACTGCCGACTTCACTCGGCCTTTCTGCTGTCGAGCACTAGCTGCCGAGGACAACAATGACACTGGAATATAAAAGGCTGGCTGAGATGCCAGGTCGACCGAATCGACCGAGCCAATCCGAACGAGCCACAAGCAGCGATGAGGAAGAAGATTGTAGATTGTCATCGACGTTGCTGCCGCTGTTACCTCGCGACACCACTAAAGGCGGAAAGGGAAAAATAAACGTAACCGACAAGAACAACAACAGCAACAGCAGCAGCAGCAGCAGCAGCAACAGCAACAACAAGTGACGGACGAGTGGAGAAGCACAACAACAACAAACCAGCAAAAAGAACCACTACAGAAGTGGTCACCGCAGCCGCCGACGTAGCAATAATCGCGATGGCAGTGAATCGTAGCAGCCAAACCACGTCAAATCGAGAGGTTGCCCATGAAGTAGATGCGACGGCCAAACGGAAAAAGAGGGACTGCGGCTGTTGGAGGGAGCATGTATTCTTCGCTCAACGAGGAAGGCCAATGCCAAGAAGAGTCAAAACAGCGTTGCGAAGGAAACGCCTCGTAATAGTGCTGTCTTCACGGCAGAGCAGTAGCGCGCACGCGATGGGACGATAGTGTCGTTCGAGGATACTTTGGGGATGCAAGGAATGGCAAGTTGCACTTGACAGAACAATAATCAGCGGTATACATGGGACGAACGGATTACTAGAGAAGACTAACACGATCGGGTTTAATACAGCATAGTCCTGCATCGTCGCAATTGAGATATCAGGTATAAGTAGGCTGCGGGCTAGAGGAGCGAAAGTTTCAGGTCGTTTTTGGGCCAGGCCAATCCAAATTACAAAATAGGTTGTCCTTTCTTGGCTGTACCCGAACTTGAACTAAATCAAAAAAATTTATCGATGGTAAACCCTCGATATAATCAATACGCAACAGTAAGTGGTGTCGCTACCTCAACATTCCACATTATGACTGAACGAAATTAAACCGATGGCCCTCTAGCGACAAATGGCGGTCCAACAGGGCTCCATTAACGGTGACGTGTACAAAACAACTGGCAACTCACTGGTTTACTGACTATCGCTACGACAATGAGCGGACCCGCTGGCAGCAGGACCGGCAAGCAAAGCAGCTGCTTCCGGCTAGGGACAGTGAGGATTTTCAGCGAGGGTTGAGACCGACAACGTCACAGCAGTAGTAACAGGAGCAGGACAAGCGATAGCAGCGACAGCGGCGGCGGCGTTATCGTCTATAATAGACGTTGACGTACAAGCCACTATGGCACGGTATAGTGCACTGTCTCAAGGACAATGCGCGTAAAGGTTTTCATCCCCAGTAGGCCCCATCTCGCACCCAACACCTCATGTCCCACGCATAACGTTCGTACCTCATTACGATGGAAACTGCTGTTATTTCGATCTATTTGACGAGAGAAATAGCCAGTGCCCAAACACTACAATCACTGAGCAATACCAACAGCCACAGCTATGGCCGCTGTGGCCTAACGAAAAGCTCAGTAGTAGTTAAATATATTCTACCTACAGAAACCTACAAATGAACGCAACACCAGTTCAGGTCGCATTAAGCCCACAGCGTGTAAAAAGCCACAAACGCTCCATTATGCTTCTAACAGAGCTGCTCGTATTACAAGTGGGATATGCGCTGTGGCTATACTTCAAGCCAAGAACGGAAGGCGGACAATGACTCCTGGGTCCACCGGAAATCGGTCCCAGCTTCTGTGACGTCTACGACAGAAGCAGCGCTAGCAAAGCCAGCATCGCTCGGTTTGAGGCAGTGCCGAAAACAATGACGAAGCGATGGGCCGTTCAGTTTCTCTTGTGATCGCTTTCGGTAGGTAAAACCCACTGAACGGCTGTAGTAGGGTCGATGATGACCCCCACCGCCAGGTGCACACTGGTGGCGAAGGGCGGTGGACACGGTTCATTCACACTAGCTCTTGTGAACGCCAGCTTCGCTCATCCGTTTGTCGAGTAGAACATATACTACACAGACATACACACCTATATCTAAATAATATTTATGTATGCGTGTGTGTTGCTGGCGGCCTCTCCTCTAGGTAGCACAGCATTTGACCACCCCATCATTTTAGCATTCGCCTCTCGCTTGTGAAAGTAGATACGAAGGCACTCATTTTAGTTAGGGTGCGCGACTGTGTCTTGCTTGTCTCTCTTCGTTGCGCGCATCTACTTCGGCCATTCGGATCACCAATCAGAATGACGACGTCCACGGCGGCAACGGCTTCTTTTATATCAAGCACTTCAGCACAGACGAAACCTGCGCAGTAGTTACTCTACTGACAAAACGCTCTCCGAAGCAACCGTAACCACTGGTAGCCGCCGAACAACAGTAACAACCATTGTATCTGCTAGAAAAAGCGGTGCAATACAGGGAGGAACTTTGCACCAACTCAATAAAAAGTAGAAAAACCGACGGAGGAGCGGCACTAGCACTTGCCACGCGGCTCAATGCCGGACTCGGAATATGCTCAATTGTTGTTGTTATCGCTAGCGGTAGATGAACTTGATTGAAGTCGTGGACGTGGAAGTTACCTGTCGGAAATAATCTAAAAAAAGACATGGATAGAAGAAGCACCCTGAAAATAAAGTCATGTCCCGCAATCTCGTCTATGTAGCTATGGAAAATAAAGCTGGGACGGAACTTCATCCGACACGGAATCGACTGCCCATAACAGCATAAAGCAGAAAACTGCGCGTGGGACCAGCCCCAGCAATACGCAGCTAAACTAGATCATTTATCCACATTACGTTACGTACATAGATTTACAGACGTACGTTATCGATGGAGTATTACTAGCTGTAGCAGGAATTACCAAGACAAATTTCTATCCTGTCACCCTTCAGCAATTGCTAGCCTTCGAGTGAAGAACTCACTTGTCCTTTACTCACTGAACCTGTTAATGCACTAACAGCGAGCCGCTTCTTCTAGGCCTCCCGTCCCTGCTGGCGCCACTGCTGCTGCTGTTGTTTCTGCTGGTCGCTGTTTCGTCGTTACTACAACTATGTTTGTTAAGGACGAGAATTTATCCTGAGGCGGTACCGTGAGCGGACAAGTCGCCAACAGCGCATCATCAACAATACAGCTCTGGCCAATGAACTCGGTAAGGATTAAACCGCCATGTCTTCTGGGAGAGGCACTGCTACCGGCCTCGACGTCTTTCCCGGCATCGAACTCCACGCCGAGGCTGCTGCAGTTAACATCGAAAAACCGCGGCGAGAACTGAGAGTCGGGCACAGGTTGTTGCAGAGGATACCGCAAAGGATTCTGCCACAGACAAGATCCTATCGTGCGAAATTCGCGCTCAACTGCGATTGGTGTTACCGAAGTCACTATTACTGCAGCAAGCATCATCAGAACATCCGCTTCAGCATATAGTGCTTTATGTACACATGTAGACAAATGACAAAAAAGAAGAGATGAGATAAAATAGGTTGAGGAAAAGTTCTAAAATCGCATACAATTGTTATTTCACTGATATATGGTTCGGCATCGGATTTTTTTTAATCGGACCCCATTAATTTGTTATACCCATTGCACTTATTATTAGGGCTATTGGTTCTGTTTAGTCAGACGATACTGAGATTTAATCGTGATACAGGACACCGGTGTGTCCTGTATCACGATTGTTGATGTGTTGTCCCTGACAAGGGTTTGTTAGGATTTGTAAGTTTCCCGCTTTAGGCATCAAGAGGCGACGCAACGAAAAGCTACTATATCATAAATGATAAAAAATAAAAGTACATATTGTACGTGCATCGGGACATTTTTTTTTCTTTCCCTTCTTTACGACTATTCAGGGCAGCACGATCGTCAAACAACATATTATGCAAAGCTGTGTTCACCATTAGCTAGTTATGGACTGGGTTAGTGGGGTTACTTTTGGCTGGAAGCAACCAGCTCCGTCGAAAACAAACAAGCGTGGAATCGTTCAAGATTGTAAATGATCGCAGTTTAATGGTCACCGTGTATATTCAGAAACTATTATAATCAGTATGCCCTTATGTAATGATAAATAGATGATTCGCAAATTGGCGTCACCAACTATCGCATCAAGCGCCGTGCTGATTGATAGGAACTGCACGGCTGGCCAGCATTAAGTAGTATTGTCGAACCTCTTTTCCCAGGTTTTCTGCTAGACAGATAAGCGTCTAGTAAATAAGAAGGGCTCCCTCGAACTACTAGCCTGCCTATTACGACTACAACTGCTACGACCATTACATCTGCAAATACTTCTCGTTGTTACCTGTGGCCATTAAGAGCTGACGGCGTACAAATTCGACGACTAGCTCCCAGCAACGAGGCACTGCCGCAGCACGAACGAGACGAGACGGCCCCAGGAGATGGCCGTCAACAAAAGCCTATTCTAAAAGGAGTTTGCAAAAAGCTCCTT